GGATACTAAGAAATTCACTATTCGAGATAAATGAAATAGTGAAATAGAAATGAAATATTTCTTGTAAATTGAAATTGATGCAAAACAAAACATCAAAATTTTAACTGACCAAGCTCTAACCAAATTTGCTGCATGTTAAAGAGAGGCCAGCATGTCTCAAACCTTGAATTTGCCAGATACCTCTGCCAAGAGCTAGTGGACTTGTCAGGGTGAACTCAGAGGCATCCTTGTGGTATGCTTCTCAGAACATGAGTATGCCTGGCACATGAGTGGAGGGTGACCCTTGTCAATTAGAAAGTGCAGATTTGTAGGGCCGAGCACGGTGGCTCATGCCTGTAATTCCAGCACATTGGGAGGCCTGGGCGGATGGATCACCTGAGGTCAGGTGTTTGAGACCAGCCTGCTCAACATGGTGAAACCCCATCTCCACTAAAAATACAAAAATTAGCCGGGCATGGTGGCAGGTGCCAATAATCCCAGTTACTCAGGAGACTGACGTGGAAGAATCGCTTGAACCCAGGAGGCAGAGGTTGCTGTGAGCCGAGATCATGCCACTGCACTCCAGCCTGGGTGACAGAGTGAGACTCTGTCTCAAAAAAAATAAAATAAAATAGGTACAGGTTTATTCTCCATATTCTACCCCAGCCCTCCAGGGCTCAGGGAGCAGGGACAGGCAGCCCAGAGGGTAAGAAGACCTAAATTCCTTCCCCTCCTCTGCTCTCCCAAGGTGACCCACAAATGGAGAAGTAACTGAGAGGCCACTTCTGAGTCTGATTGCAGAGTAACGGCCTTGATCACTATCTCCTTAGCCCAACGGACCAAACCCTCCGCTTATCTACTTGACTGTAGGAGGATGGGCCAGGTCCAGGACCTAAAAACCTGGTCGCTGAATTCCAAGCTTGAGACCTCCCTAGTGGTGGAGGGTAGAAGCATAGACCCCCATTTGCCATTATTCTTCCTCATCCATTGACCCAGGTCAGGGGTACCATTTCACTTGGTGATTGGGATGACTAATAAGGTTGGCTGCTCTCAGGAACCAATGCCACCTTAAGCCTCACACTCACTCATTGTTTCTTTTTTCTTTTCTTTTCTTTCTTTCTTTTTTCATTTTTTTTTTTTTTTTTTTTTTTTTTTTCTGAGACAGTCTTGGCTCTGTTACCTAGGCTGGAGTGCAATGGCATGATCTCGGCTCACTACAACATCCGCTTCCCAGGTTCAAGCGATTCTCCCGCCTCAGCCTCTCGAGTAGCTGGGACCACAGGCACCCGCCATCATGCCTGGATAATTTTTTTTATTTTTGTAGAGATGGAGTTTCACTATGTTGGCCAGGCTGGTCTTGAACTCCTGACCTTAGGTGATCTACCCGCCTTTGGCCTCCCAAAGTGCTGGGATTACAGGCGGGAGCCACCACACCCGGCCTCGTTGTTTCATTTCACAGATGGATAAATGGCATCTCAGAGATTTTAAACAAGTTGCCCAAGGTCACACAGCAAGTAGAGACAGGCCTGAACCATAGGCTCCCAGCTCCTTATACACCCACTAGCTGTGTTTCTCTAGCCTCCTCCCATCAACCTCCCTCCTGAACAGACCATTCCCTCTTTCATGTCAACCCTGTTTTCATTGTATATAAACCCTTGGCAAAGATATTCCAATGACCTCAGTGACCTTTTCTGTCTGATTTAAAACAAGAAAAAACTTTTTTGAAGGTCTTCCATGGACCAGACACTATGCTTCATTAAGGTTTTTACATCTGTTACTTAACAACCGCTTAATCCTTAAAAGTCATCCTACAAATTGGGCATTGCCATCTCTAGTCTATATATGTACTACAAAAACTCAGAGAAGTCAAATGACTTATCCAAGTTTGCACAACTAGTAACAAATGATGCATCAGATCCTAGCCTGTCTGACTCCCAAATCTTTGCTTTATTTGACACACCCAGATGTGTTACTTCCAGATGATCTAGCCAATGATGCCAACATTGTTTCCAGCATCCGTGGAACCCCAAGCCTCTGGCTTAATGTTTGCATTTATGTTCATAGGGGTTTCAAACTCTGCCTCTTGTTCCAAGATTCAGTCCATCCCCTCATTATTCAGAGGGTAGGCCTTGCCATCTTGAGAGGCAGTGTAGGATGATGTATAATGAAATCACAAGTTCCAGGGTCAGCCCCTCTCTGCCTCAGCTTTCTCATCTGTAAACTAAGGCTAATGACAAGATTTGCCTCCTGTGAGATCAGCTTAAGCAAAGCTCTCAGAAATATGTCTGACACATGGGTTGAGTGAGGGTGCCCCTTGTCAATGAAAAAGCAATGAGTGTACTGTTGATTGAACCCCTACTCTGTGCTCTGCACTGTGTAAGGAACTCCATGGATTCAATGATAAAGAATCATTGATAAACTGTTTCACAGAGCTTAGTTAGTATCTTACAGGAGAGGAAAATGCACACACAAACCCATATTTTGCAATATTAGCCCAGTCCTTTTATTTCATGATTTTTACTTTTTAAGAAAAAAAAATCTATTTATTTCTTTTGAGATGGAGTTTCGCTCTTATTGCCCAGGCTAGAGTGCAATGGCACAATCTCAGCTCACTGCAACCTTCGCCTCCCAGGTTCAAGCGATCAAGTGATTCCCCTGCCTCAGCCTCCCGAGTAGCTGGGATTACAGGCATGCGCCACCACGCCTGGCTAATTTTTTTGTATTTTTAGTAGAGACGCGGTTTCTCCATGTTGGTCAGGCAGGTCTCAAACTCCTGACCTCAGGTGATCTGCTCATCTCGCCCTCCCAAAGTGCTGGGATTACAGGCATCAGCCACCGTGCCTAGCCAAGAAAAAAAAATTTTTTTTTTTTTAGACGGAATCTCGCTCTGTCGCCCAGGCGGGAGTGCAGTGGCGCAATCTCGGCTCACTGCAAGCTCCGCCTCCCGGGTTCACGCCATTCTCCTGCCTCAGCCTCCCAAGTAGCTGGGACTACAGACGCCCGCCACCTCGCCCGGCTAGTTTTTTTTGTTTTTGTTTTTGTTTTGTTTTGTTTTGTATTTTTTAGTAGAGACGGGGTTTCACCGTGTTAGCCAGGATGGTCTCGATCTCCTGACCTCGTGATCCGCCCCTCTCGGCCTCCCAAAGTGCTGGGATTACAGGCTTGAACCACCGCGCCCGGCCCAAGAAAAATTTTTTAATGAATGTACACTGTGCTCCTATAAAGCACACTGTAGAGTGGACTGCTCGGGGAGTCTTTGCCGTGAACACACCAATGTGAACATGCCTAGGTCGAGATACAGAATGTGACTAGGAGCCCTGCAGCCTCCTTCATGCCACTTCTTGATATTACTCCCCCAAAGAAGATCTCTGTGGACTGGAAGTCAAACTTCTGTCAAAGCACACACCCATAGCAGCAGAGATTTATGAGGAACCAGACAAAGCTCACCTACCATTTAGCACAAAACCTGATACCTAGTCAATGCTTAATAAATGGGAAATATTATTACCCTTTGTTGTTAATATTGAAATAAGGGAAGCAATGCCTTCCCACACTAGAATATGAAGTCCAATAGGGCGAGGAGTGAAAATTCCACCTCAGTTGCATCCTCACAGCACTCATCACAGGGCTGAACCCATAGTCCACCATCTTTGAAATCAATAGATTCTCGTAGAGCAATAGTTGAAATGGACCTGAGTTTGATTTCTTTCTCAACTTACTGTGTGACCTTAGACAAGTAGCATCCCTTCTCTGTGCCACACTCCAAAAAAAATAGAGTTCTTGTTTCACCCCTCTCTGAGCCTCCAATCATATATGAAGATCTGTGAATTGGAGGCATGGTGGAGAAAAAAATGGCTTTAGAACTTTGAATTATTTTCTTCTGCTGACCTCTGCAGTAGAGAAGGGGTTGAGAATGCCTTCCTCCCTCCCCTCTGATTAAAGCTGTCTCACCTCCAGCTGGGCCAGAGTCCTGTGTCCCAAGATGAACCCAAGAGTGAGACAGTCTATCTTTCCTCCCGCTGTGTTTCATCCCCGTGTGATCCTAAGGGGAGTAACCAGCTGTAAAAGCACAAGGGTTAAAGGAACATGCTTTGGAGCAGAGTTGAATTTCAGTATGGGTTGCATTTAGAGGTTCAGTCTCGGGCAAGTCTTTTGACAGGTCCTAACTTCTCTGAGCCTGGTTCTGTAAAATAGGGCTAATAATTATTGATCACATGAGGTCGTCTAGGCAGGGTGCCTGCCACAGCAGGGGGTATGTTGTAGGCACTCAATAAGCGGTAACAACTAGTAGATGTTTTTGTGCCTATGTTACAAACAACCATATATCCCAAGTGCCAGGGAACTACGTCTTGTATTCCCAGGCCTCATTCAGAGTCTGACACATGGCAAGCTGTCTTATATCAGGTTTCCCCAGAAGGAGATCCTGAGACAGGGAGTTGCGTACAAGTGTTTATCTGGGAGTTGCAGAGAGTAGGAAGGAGCAGAGAATGCAGCTGAGGAAGGGAAGGCAACCCATAAAATGCATGAAATAAGGCCAACTACCACAGCAGGCCACTGGGAAACGGTGCCCAATACATGTTAGGTTTATTCCACTTGAGGGGTCGGGGATTGGGGTACTTATACATTCATTCCTGAGAGTTGTGGACTGTTCTCAGGGACATGTTAATTTCCTTACATATCAAACCAACCACAGTTCTGGGGTTGGAGAGAGACAGAGAGAGAATGCCTTTGAGTACAGAGACGCAAACTGGGCCATTGGGAGTCTACCTACAACCTTGAAAGGCCCTAGCAGCACCTATTTAGGTGCCCAGTAATGAGATGTTCTATGAAAAGAGCCAGCTGAACCCATTCCTCCATCTCCAAAAGGCTCCATAGACCCAACTCCACCCTCCATCCTCCTCCTCAAGGAGTGTTAGCTTCTGACCCTTCTATGAAAGGTGTGGTGTGGGGAGAGATGATAAGTAAGAAGTTTCAATGAGGGCTAAGTAGAGTGGATCAGCAATCAGATGAGAAAATAAATCTGTTTTAGTAAAACTCATTTTATTGCAGGGAGGTGGAGGGAGAAACGGCAAGCAGAGGAGGGGAGGCAGCTGCCCAGGGGAGGATAGCTCTGAACTGCTGGCTGGGACCAGCTCAGTAGGAACAGATGAAAGGAAGTCTTCTGAGGCAGTGGGCTCGACGCCAGTGGCCTCCTGTAAAGGCAGAACAGAAAGGGACTTTCAGCCTCTTGTCCACCCCAATTCAACCCACAGGAGGGCCTCTTCTCCCACCCACACACCACTGTGGAGTCGAAGTATACAAAAGACCCAGGAAACCTCTCCCTCAAAGGGTCAGGCTCTTCGTAGCAACTCCTCCTTGGGGCACTTCCCACCTCCCAGACCTTTCCATCGTTCATCCCCAGCCCCACCTCACCTCGGGTACACAGGGACACACAGTGACCACCACGGGACCAGGGCTGGTGAGCAGCCCAGTACGCAAAGTTCCAGCGGCTGCCGTCAACCCACTGAAAGCGTCTGCAGCGACCCTGGAGAAAGCAAGAGGGGAAGAAGGGATGGGGCAGAGGGAAGGCAGAGAGGCAGATCTGGCCCTGTATCTGTCAGCTCCTCCTGCTGCCCACTGGGCAATGGGCCCTTCCCTGCTGGACCATGATGGGAACTGTCCTGGTCATCTGAAATGCTGATCCATGGCAATCATCACCATCAGATTCTATGCATCCCAGTGACAGGCTTATCCTTCCAGCCCTAACAAAAGGTTGGCAACAGGGGTTGCCAACTCATCCTAGAGATGAGGAAGCAAACTCACGGTCTTGTTTTTATTTATTGTTATTTATATATTTTTTTGAGGCGGAGTTTCGCTCTTGTTGCCCAGGCTGGAGTGCAATGGCTCGATCTTGGCTCACCGCAACCTCCACCTCCCAGGTTCCAGTGATTCTCCTGCCTCAGCCTCCCGAATACCTAGGATTACAGGCATGCACCACCATGCCCTGATAATTTAAGTTACGTAGATAGTGAGAGATGGAAAGGAACTTGTACCCAAACCTCCTGATTCTAAATTCTTAGCTCTTCCCTGAATGCCCAGGCAGCCCCCTCGGTGTTGTCTGTGGGTGTCCATCTATCCCCGGTTCGTCTGGAGATTATAGAGGAGAAAAACAGACAAATCTGCCGCAAGTTCAGTACTGGCTGAGATCAGCAGGTGCACACCATTTAGTGTTCACACCTCTCTTACCGAGCCTGTGATCCTGCCTCCAATCCAGACTTGACCCTGGTTGAGCGCGCTGACTGACCACTGGATTTGGGAATTAGTATTGAAGTTGTGGATGGAAGCCAGGTTGCCCCTGTAGCACCTCTGGCAAGTAAACTGCAGGGCAGGATAAAAGACAAAGAATGGAGCATCCTTCCTACATGAATTCATGTGGGTCTTGAGTTCCCACAATTCATGTCCTCCCTCCCTGCCACAACCATTTAAAGGTTGGAGACCAAAATGCCACCTCTGTTTCTAGGTGGACTTCCCCTCTTACCCCAACACCTCTGTGAGGCTCAGGTTCTACTGAGCCCTCACATCTACTGAGACAGGGCCTCTGGGACATCTACTGAGCCTCAATGGGGAAAAGAGCCAGTGATAGCAATGCTGGAGACATGTCCCACACCCCTCCCATGCTCCTGCCTCAGCCTCAGCCACAGGTCACTCACCCAAGCTTGGTTAAACGTGTGAGGACTTCTCACCAGGAGGTAGCGGCAGGTCGGGCACCCAGGGATGCCCACCACTTTTACTGTGTCCTCTTCCTCAGGACACGTAAGGTTTTTGTCTACCATATCTGGGACTGAGATCAACTCAACAGCCCCATCTTCCTTGGAGGCATCTTCACTTCCAGAGCCCCCCTCCTCCTCTTCCTCCAGGTCCCTGGAAAGGATCTCCTCCACCTCCTGTTCTGGCATCTCCTCATCCTCAGGCAGGGTCTTAGCACCCAAAGTGCTCTCAAAGGTGGAAGTCTCAGGCCCTGGCAGGGAGGATGGCCAAGTGTCCTTCCTTCACATCTCCCGTTGTTCCTCCCCAGAACCACGGACAGCTCCCACCTTGCCCTGGGCATCAGAGTGCTCAACCCTGCCTGGGAAGAGGAACCCGGAACCCAGTCTCCATGAGGGGAACCCAACATGCCTGACAAGGTCAGGGTAGTTAAGAGTATGGACTTAGAGTTGGGCAGTCATGGGCTTGGGTACTGGTTCTATCATCCACTAGCTTTATTTATTCATCTGTGAAATGGGTATACAATACCACCTACTTCATGGAGATGCTAAGAGAGTTAAAGGAGAGAAGGCATGGAAAGTGCTGTGTACCCAGTAAGCTCAAAGTAAGCATCATGGAGAAAGGACAAAATTGGGGGTGTCACAGCAAAACCAAGACCACAGACATAACAGAGGCCCTGAAAAATTCTTTCAACTCATGGCCATAGGGTCCCCATCCCTTTAAGCACACAGAAATTCAGAAATAGAAGACGATCAAAGAAGGGGGTGGGTGTGTAACTCTGATCTCATTTACTATAGAAAGGAAAAAAATGGAGAAAGAAAGACTGAAGGCAAACAACACTTACTCAGATGAAGAGCAGAAACTGCCCCAAATAGAAGAGCCAGAAGTAGGAGGGGTTTCATCTTGGCTTTATCCTGCAATGGAGAACACAGTTTGTCATTGACACACACAGACACACACACACACACACATCACAATCACACCATTAGGGGACTGTGGGAGTCAGGTGGAGAAAAAGAAGGCCTGAATAGAAATCGGGATGGGCCAGAAAATCTCACGCCACGCTCAGCTCCTGATGCTCCAGGATCCGGGACACAAGGACCTCTTTCCAAACAGGACGCAGCAAACCCTGAGGGGTGGCTGAGGCTGGCTTTCCTTCAGGCCTGGAAGTAAAGAAGGAACTATTACACTTGTTTGTTTGTACTTAATGGGTCCCTCAGAGTCTATGACATAAAAGAGGAGGGAGAAGCAATGATTATTGGCTTTCCTAGGAACACACAGGACTTAGAAGGTATGTCCCCTCCTCAAAGCTCAAGAAGCCATCCACGCTCTCCTTCATGTCTCCACCATCTTCCCCAGCCAAGGAGCGCTTTCACATCCCACAGAAGGAATGTGCAAGGCAGAGGATGCAGGCTGCCCCTGCCGACACCTCGTAACCTGAAAGCCACTGGTAGACCCCTGCCAGCCCTCCAGAAACCGTCAGCCACAGCTAGGGACCTCCTGGGAGAATAAACTGTCGCCAGCTCCACCACAGCAGAGAAAGCACTCACTCACCTAGAGACCTTCCTGGGTCTTTAGATCTTCCCAAAGCCCAGGTCATTCTCGGCTCCCTCTCACAAAGACATCTTATATAGAGGCCTTGGAGGAACTTCCCCCAGGGGGAGAGAGTTTGCCTGTGTCAGAGGGAGATAGCAAGGCTGATAAGGACCATTTCATCACTTCCCTGGGAAGTCCACTCATTCAGTGAAGATTTCTCTCCTGGTACCTCCTTCAGGAACCCAGGGACCATCTGCAACAGCCCTGGGCAATGGTTCTTATCCTGGTCTACACTTCAGAATCGCCTTGGGTGCTTTTCCAAAATGCACATCTCCCCTGCTTTACTGGTGTTTTGAATTGCCACAAACATTTTGAGAGCAAATCTGTCCATATCTATTAGAATAAAAAATGCACATTTGATCAGTTTCACTCTTTGGAGACCATCCTTTAGACATAAAAGCACCTATAAGTAAGAAAACTTTTACAGAGTTGTGTTACTGCTTGTCTGTTTGTAGAAATGAAAGCAATCTTGAGATCCATCAATCGGACACTGAATAAAATGTGTTCTCTCTCTTCTACAGAAAGTTATATGGCTATGAAAAGAAGAGCTGGACCTGTATCTATAAACCTGAAGAGATGTGTGCGTGACATTATGAAGTGAAAAAAGGCAAGATACTGAGGAAAGTATTTAGTATGTGAATAGTTTTACAAGGAAAACAAACCCACACAGGTGCTTATCTGTGGGCGTCCTTATGTGGCCATTGATGGAGGGAATGCTAAGAGGAATCATACCAAATAGTTGACCTTGTTGCCTCCAGAAGCAGGGGAGGAGAGGGAAGAAAGCGGGAGGCAGATTGTTGTTTATCCTCTTTTTATAACTTTGCACTTCTTCAGTGATTATGGCAAATGTGTGCTGAACCTGTAATTTTGAGGCTGCCTTAGTAAATATTTTTTAAAATATGCAGATGCCCTGACCAGAAACTTCTGATTGGCTAACAGGTCTAGAGTGAAGGTCAGATGTCTGCATTTTTGCTTAAAGTTTCCCAGCTGATCGTGATGGAAGATGGGTCTAGGAGTGACTGTCCTGAGGATATTCAAGTACAGGAAATGTTCACATACGTCTAACTGCTTTCATTCTGAATCACACCACTGAGTTGGCCAACCTACCAGCCTTCATGTGGTAACATTTACTGAACATTTTTAAATGCCATGCATGGCAAGCGGCTGGATGCAGTGGCTTATGCCTGTGATCCCAGCAGTTTGGGAGGCCGAGGTGGGCGAATCATTTGAGGTCAGGAGTTTGAGACCAGCCTGGGCAACATTGCGAAGCCTCATCTCTACTAAAAATACAAAAATTAGTCTGGTATGGTGGTGCCTGCCTGTAATCCCAGCTACGTGGGAGACTGAGGCAGGAGAATCACTTGAACCCAGGAGGTGGAGGTTGCAGTGAGCTGAGATTGCACCACTGCACTCCAGCTTGGGCAACAGAGTGAGACTCCATTTCAATCAATCCATCAATTAATCAATAAAATGCCATTCATGGCAAGTATCACCTCATTTAGCCTCTTTTTAAAAACCTAGTGAGGTAGGTGGTTGATACCCCATTTTCCAAGTGAGAAACTCAGGCTCTGTGTGGCTCCTGACCGCCCCGCAACACTGCCCTTATTGGATCAATGCCCTGTATACACCCTTTTGTAGCTCCAAGGGCTTGTCCTTATCACAGTCATTTTACTTTTCTTGTGAGATTACTTGGTTAATGGATTAACATCGGTCTTCCTTCATGATGGAGAAGGCTGCATCTCTTTACTCACCATTGTATCCTTGGTGCTTAGTATAGTGCCGGGCACATAGTAGGTACTCAATAAACATATGTTGAAGTAATTAATGGTTAAGTAACCTGGTCAGGTAAATAACAGGGTTAGAATTCAAATCCAGTTCTTTCTGGCACCAAACTTCTCTCCCCTCCCGTGTGTCTGCTTATGTGTCAAAAATGATGCTGTCCAGGTGGAGATAAAAACAGAGCGAAGCATAGATCCTGTATTCAATTTGCTTACAACCTAATTTGTAAGATGAGTAAATCGACGTCAAACAAAAGGAAAAGGGTTAAGACCAACCTAGGAAACACCCTCTGCTAATTCAGAAGGAAGTCCATCCATAGTAAAAGAGAGCAGAAAAGGCTCCATGAACCAAGGAGCTGATTCCTACCTGGATGGAAAGGTGCAACTAAAAGGGAAGGAAACAGGCATTTCAAGTAGAAGGAACAGCTTGAGCAAAGACGTGGAGGTTGGACAACCTTGGCGTATGCACAGGACACTGTTATTGCCTTCATAACTAAAGTTAACAGTACACACATTGGGAAGGAATCAGCAAAACAAGGAAGGATGCCTTTCATCTTGAGCCGAGGATGGAGATAACCGTCCACTGTCTCCATTGATTTAAAAGACAGAAGCAGAAGAGGACAGACTCAACAAGAGCCTCGTCAGGAGCTTCGAGCTGGGTTCTGCCCACTCCCATCTGCAAGCCCTCCCCGCAGGGCCTCTTTGGCAGTTGGACAGAGGATTACCATCAGAAGGTGATGAGAGGGAGCCCATTCTTGGAAGCCAGTTGACTGCTCAGGGACACTCACCCCTAGGGAAGTCTCTCTTTTAGGTCACACAATCCAGGATCTGAAATCCACAGCTTAGCAACCCTGAAAATTTCATTTCATCAACATTCACTGGAAGTATACAGCAGCGTCTGAGAGGGTGGGTTCTGGAGTCAGACAGTCCAAGTCAGACTCAAAGTGACTGGGTCTAGCTCTTAATAGCTGTGTGTCGTGTCCCTGGACAAGTTCGTTAAACTTTCTGTACTTCATTATCATCATTTATGAAATAGAGATGACAATACCTACCCCACGGGGTAGGGTGAGAAATGAATGAGATAATTCACATGTAGCATGCATGCTGTGAGATGCCCAACCACCTCACCCTTTTCTGTGGTTTCTGGGATTCCATTTCTTATGGATCTTGGTGGAGGGTAGGCCTCTCATTTTTTAAGACAAAAGTGCCTAATAGATTTCCAGCTTCCTTTGCAGCTAAGGCATATGACTGGGCTCTATCAAAGAGAAGAAGCGTCTGTTCAAGACTTTGAATCTGGAGCTAGTGACCAAAAAGATGGAGGCCAAGAAGGCCTCTCTCTGGCAGTGGCGTTGGCAAGATTGAGTACCTGGAGTTGCAGTACCCACAGAGGCACTGCAGGATACATTGATCCAGGGTCTGAGCCCTACAACATCCTGGGTGCCAGCCACAAGGTCTAGGTCTCAGCAGCAGTGGGATTCTCCCTAGACCTGTTCTGCAGCCTGACTTTGGCTCCATGTCTGGTTTTCTGGCCCTTCCTGCAATTTCATGAGCTACTCCATTTCCTTTCGGTCCTGGATTTTTCTACTCAGATCTGCCGTGAAGAGTTTCTGTTGCCTGCCATTAAGAGCCCCGACTGATGCAGCATTTAGCTCAGGAACTGGTATTTAGTTATTGCTTAGTAAATGAATGCTACCCAGGGTCTTTGGGTGTGACCGACATTAATCAAATTCTCAAGAGACTGATGTCTGCTTCTGGTGCCAATGACATAAATGAGGTTGAACTGTACTCACACGGGGCCCACTTGCCCAGGCTCTCTGATAAGTACATTCTCTCTCCGCATCACAACTATGGTGTGCTTAGGACTTGAATTTTCAATAGGAGCAAAGAGCTGGAGGCCTTTGGGTCCGGTGCCTTTGAGCAAGAGAACTGATACCCATCATCTCCATTTAATCCTCGGCCCTGCCTCCTTCCCCAAGAAATGTTGACTCAACACTGCAGGATCCTGAATCTTAGGCATCCTCCTTTCTAGCCCTAAAGTTACTACAGAGGCTTGGAGGTTCCTCAACAGACTCAGTCAATCCTCTCCATACCAGCACTCCTAAAGGGGACCTGACAGATCACCACTGCATTTAGTCTTTTCTGATCTCATTCTCGGGGACTTGTGGGAGAGTGTGCTATAGCCCCTGGTACAACCTGTCTAGTGTCAGACCTGGCACTGAGGGATCTGCTCCTCTACAAGGGTAGGCTGCTGCAACAGGAGAAAAACGTGTGCACCAGGCAGAGCACAGATCACATTGGAGATGGTGCCAATACCAAGGAGCTCTCGGGATGCCCCTCGCATGCCCAACCCCCAACACATGGCAGCTTAAAGACTAAAAAAAAATCACAGCTCTAGATACGCAGCTCACACTATTTAGCCCTCACCTCCACCTGCATCCCTCCCCACACCCTGCAGCAGAACTTTTCAAACTGGAAACTACGAATAGGCTTCAAGGGACCATGAACCCTGCAATTATAGACAACATATGGTGTGATGTTTCTAGGGTGAGGGTCCAAACCCTCCATGAGATTCTGTGATGACTTCCCAAAAGGCAAGAGAACCTCTAACTTTACTGGGTGATTTTTTTCCAGAAGAACCAAGAATGACATCCCACTGTTCTTCACCAAAATAATTCTGCTTGGCCCTTTTGATAGGCAGGAATCAGTTGTCCCCTGGTGCGCTCTGCATAATCGCTGGGACTGTAAATAGGATGGATTTTACTCCTGTGGTTGTGTGATGTTACATGCCACAGTTGACTTTAAGGAAAAGGGACTGCCCTGTATGGGTACGATCTAATCAGGTGATCCCTTAAAAGGCACAGGGCTCTCTTCCTGAAGTCAGAGATTCCAACCATGTGTGTGATTCAATACAAGGGAAATTCTCCATTGCTGGCTTCAAGGATGGAAAAGACCACGCACGTGGCAAGGAATGTGGGCAGCCTCAAGGACCTGAGAGCAGCCCTCATCTGACGGTCAGCAAGAAAACAGGACCTCAGCCCTGCAACAACCCCAGGGAACAGAATTTTGCCACAACCACATGAGCCTAGAAGAGAACCCTAAACTCTAAATGAGCACACAGCCCAGACAACATCTTGAATTTAGCCTTGTGAGACCCTGAGCAGAAAACCCAGCCACGCTGGGCCCACATTGCTGATGGACTCACGGTGAGCTAATAAACATGAGTTGTTTGAAGCTGCTAAATTTGTGGCAATTTGTTA